GGTGGAACCGACCTTCGAATCTCTTCACCCAACACTTCTACTCGAAATGGAAGTAATCCCAACAATCATTTAGGTTTGCTTGGGAGACTTTCACTTCGTATCAAAGTGCACGAAGAAGAGATTGGTAGGTCAATCTCAGAAGAAAATGGCTGGTTTGCGTAGTACTGCAGCTATTTGGCTTTAAACGAGTCCAGGTTGACGCAGTCCATGAGACTGGAGAGATTGTCTTGCGGGCTGTGTTAACCTGAACGTTGTATTAAAGCCAAACTGATGCATTACAACGGGAATCGGTCGTTATCTTCTGGTGCAATTGACCGAAGAATCTCTTTATTATGCACTTTCATACAAAATGAAGAATATTATCTTAAGGAATTCAACACGACTCATTTACTTTTCGTATTTATTTAGGTTTGCTGAGCATTTTACTTGTTGTTTTGCTCGGCCAACATAAGAAACCGTCCTACAAAAATAAGATTGTGGTATTATGATCAGACCATTGAGTCTCAATTTATTGAAGGCTCACTACAAACATAGAAGATACTGTAACGGTTTCATTTTTATACAATAATTCCTTATTTGCTTACATTATTTTGAATTCTTTAGAGAAGATCATTTGAAGGCATGGCAGAGTGGAGAGGGAAGTAGGTAAATGCTGAATAGAGATCCCTATGCCTAAAGACTTCTGTATTTCGTGAATATTAAATAGTACGGATTCTCTGTCACATCATTTCAACTAACCTGATTTATTTTACTTATCGTTCTTCTTTTCAACACTATTTATCTCATCATTTTCAGTTATTCCAGTACTGGATTTGTGGCTGAACTAGCTTCAAACCTGTACTCTGCTTATCAGACCATGTTCTCTCTCTCTTCCGGCCTCCACCTTCCCGATGGCCCAACTCCTAGTGGTTCCCCGCCTATCTCCCTCCGTACTAGCACGCCCCTGTCTTCAGCCTCTCTCGGCCCACCTGATTTATCTGGACCGGTGACATTTAGTCCCAGCCAAGACACTATGGCCTATTCCACACCTACAAGCTATTACCGAGACACCAACTCCTCCAGTGACTTAGGCCAGCAAGCAAGAAATTGCAGGGCAGATATCACACCAAGTCGACCGTATTTGCCGACGCTAACGTCACCAGAATCCTCTATGCAATTAAGTCATACGAGTTGCGAAAGCGCTTTATTAACTCCCAAGAGGCCCAGCCCCACTTTGAAGAGTCTGATGCATCAAAAACTGTCGAATTTCAGCGATATCGTGCAACGAAAGGAGGATAAAAGAGAACATGAAGACTACGACGAGGAAGAGGGCAGGGAGGACTGTAACGAGAAGGAAGATGACAAAGAAGGGAAGTTGGAAAACGGAAGAGCAAAGAGATTTAAATATGAAAAGGCTCGATCATGCGAACTTCGTTGCCAGGTGAGCAATGGATTGGCGGTCAAAAGGCCTCGGATTTGGTCATTGGTCGAAATGGATCCATCTCCCAAACAAGAAGCTGACAGGCACCACGAACTTGAGGCGCTTCGCGACAAAATTGAGCCATCAACTAATGCCCTATTGGCCCCTTCTGGGAATTCGTCCCGGATGCCTGACTTGTCGGAATCTGAGCCGAATTCCCCTCCAAGAGTGCAGCAGGCGAGGCGAGTTCAGACACCTATAACCTCTGTACAGGCGATAGGTTTCGGGAGTCATCCAAAAATAGAGACGGCAGATGAAAAGTTCAATGTCCGGTCTCGAAAAGCCAGGCTAATTGGACAAAAAGAAATCACTCATCAATGGGAAAGCCTCAGAGAGAGCGATAAAACTAACTGCAAACTCGCCCCAACTGGTAATGAAGATGACCTCGACTGCAAAGTTTTCAATACCAATAAATCAGCGGGCAAGACGGCAGTCCCCAAACTCCGCAATGATGAAGCTCTTCTCTCGGTTACTAAAACTGTGTAAAGTAAGCGGTTGAAATATTTCTGATTACCATAATTGTTTATAATAAATTATGTCCTGAATAAAAGAAGTGTAGGCTAATAAACACTCATGTGGGACCTATTTTATAAGTGTTGGTTCGATGTAATTTTCGCAACTTGGTCAGAATGTCTGGAACGTACCTAGTCCAGTGTCCTCTGCCATATGATCTAGTATCTTCAATTAATCCTTCCTCGTAGGAAGCATGGTTTTTATTTTAACCTTGTTTAGCTCACATGATTATTTTAACCTTCGAGATTCTCT